TGTCTGCCTATGTGTTGTCTCATGTTTCCTTCAGGACTTGATCCAGGCCGTTGCTAGGTGCCATGACCTCCAAGAGTAACATTCATGGATTCAGAGGGTGAACCCTGCAAGGAGTAGGGCTGTATTTTATTTCTGCAACCCCCCCTCCCCACCCCACCCCAAACACACACCCTCACTTACATACTGTATACCACAAACTCCCCATGGGCTTGGCCTGTGGCTAGGCTTGTTCACTAATGGTTCATCACAAGGCACAATATACACTGCCATCACAACTAATGATCTCTCTCTTGCTTTTTGACTGAGGGAAGCAGAGGAGTTTCTGATATTAAGAGGTAGGATGTTTTAGTCTTTTTTGCCCATGAATAAAGATTTTAGTATGATGACATCATTGCAAACTGGTCTTAAACACTTAAGAAATAGGCCTCCCTTCCATTAGCTGCACTGATCACTGCCCTCCAGATGCCCCAACCCCCACCCCACCTGCAGACTGTGGGTGGAGTGGGGCCCAGCATTGAGAGGACAAGCCGTTCTGTAGCTTCACTGCCAAAAGGTACTTTACTGGAGCTCAGGAACTGAGTTGGGGAGGGGAAGGACACAGTTTGCATGTCTGGCCAGATATCTTAGTGTGTGTGTGCATAGCACAGTACACTGCAGAAATGAGCCAGCAGAACTACTGACCTTAAGAATTGCTTTAGACCTGCTTACAAATGTGAAAAAATCAAGTTAGTTTGGACTACTTCCCAGTGTCCCCTTGTAACTGAATGTGAAGAGAAACATTCAGTTGTTGCTTTTTGAACACAAACACAGAAACATTTGCTGTTTATCCAACCTGACCACCATCATAATTTGTCATTTGGCGTGACCCTTTTCATCCTCGCTCATCATCCTCCCAGCTGCAACTGTCATTTGTAACAGTCAGCAGTTCACATCAAACAAAGCCCAAGGCAGAGCAACAAAAGAGAGAAGACAGTGGGCAAACAAACTGGAAGGCAGACTAAATAACTGTGGCTTGTCTGCTGCGTGAGGGAAACACAACCCAGTGGTGTGTGTGTGTCACTGGCTGTGGCTCTACATCTCTGTGTGTGTGCTTGTGTTGGCAGCAAACATGAGAAACAAAAGTGTCTCAGCTCCATGCATCTCCACTAGGCTGCAGCTGTTGTTGGTATTTAAACTTAATGCAGGTGTCAGTGCTGTTGTCTTTGTGAAGCTGTCGTTGTGCGTATATCTCGTCTCGTCCGTGAATAAATCAACTTTGAAACCGTATGCAAGCGTGAGTGTATTCAAGTGTATGTGTGCCAGGTACAAGCACAGGTGGCATGACTTGTACTTCAACACACAAGCATCACTTGGTTGTTTTAATAGAGTAAAGTGGAATCTGATGAGAGCTTAGATGGCTTACATGCTCTTCTGTTTACCAGGCAGGCACGAAGACATTATAGACGTTATAGAATAGGAGCATAAACCAATTGAATGTTGATCTCTTACTACTACATCTTTTTTTTCATTGATATAAACAAGGCTTTACAGTGGACATCAAAACATCAAATTGATTTTATCATCCCATCATTATTAATAAATGCATTTTCCAAAATTGTCTTTATTTGGTTTCCCCCCTGTGTCTATGTCCTAAACTGAGTTGGTTGTTGTATCCACTCTGAAGTGTGAGGGGTCAAACAGGTTGCAGCAGCTGTCTTGGACACACCAGTTAAGCTAACACTGGGGGGAGATCTTTAGAGGTGGGATCCCAGTCTGTGCATCCCCTGCTGGGCTTATTTTCAGCTGGGATTGGCCCTCACCAGCAGGAGGACATACCGGTGTATGGACTCCTGAGAGCAGGCTGTTTTAATAGCCCTGTTTACAGCAGCTCACCCACCAGTATGCAGGGACCTCAGGTTCCCATAGGTGGTGGCCAAAATAAACACCTGTCTTAGAGCCCAACAAGAGTACAATCTTGCTGAATTCCCCAGTTTCTGACCCGTAATTTCAAACTAGCCATCGTCAGCATTACTCACCGCTGTTTTGTGTTCAACATATCAGATACACATAAATAAAGTTTATGCTCATCACTGAAAACTTTACAGATTCATCCATCCATCTTCATGACAAGTAGCAGTCATCTATGATAACAGATCAGCAACACTATCTCTTGGAAAACATCTGGCCGTGAGTCATGACATGACCCCTGTTTGTGTGCCCGCGGTAGTGGGTTTGATGGTGTATGTCTATGTGTGAGAATGTCTGCCATTCTATGTGTGTTTTCATGCTAGTACCCTTAGAATATGTCCTGTGCAGTGTACAGTGGCACCCCTATGGAAAATACACACAGTGCTAATGGGGGCAGACCAAAGTACAATCTGATCCCAAAAAAAAAGTCCTTGTGAGAAACAAGGCCATCATGGGTCTCCACCTGTGTGTTTGTTTGTACGTGTGTGTGTGTTTTTAAAAGAAGTTAGAATAAGAAAGAAAGAGCGTGACCTTTTATGGTACATGTGTTATTCTGTTTCAGTTGCTTTAGCATAGCTTTCTCTGAATATCTCCTCACATATGATCTGGCATATTGTCTTGTCAGACCCATTTTTATTAACCTAAAGATCATTTGCTTTGTCATTTATAATTTATGTGCAGGTTAAATGCATTGTGGCAGCATGAAACATCATTTAAGAAAGTTCAGTGATGAATAGATTGTGGGAGAGAGTTGGACAGCAGCTTATCAGTCAAATTGTTAGTTGTTAATGTCATGCGAGAAATTCAAGTTTGAGCTTTAACTGACATCTAGTGGTCAAATGTGGTTTCGACTGCTGCACCTCCAAAAAGCAATTTTAGTTCAAATGCACATGAATAAAAGAGAGTTGTGAATCATATTATGCAAAATACAGTTTATTCCCTTCACATTTCCCTTTAATCACTATGTATCAACCAAATATATGTTTACATTTAAACTTATCAGTCTAAACAAGCTATTTAATCCTGTACTGACTCGTAGATGGATGTTATTCCTAAAAATGTCCACCAGCGAGGTGGCATAAATATTTAAGTAGTAAGTCATTTATATTGCCTCAAGTGACAGTTGAATAAAAAAGTGAATTCATTTTGTGTTCTGTCTTATTTCAAGATATTTCAGTGACATTTTTTCAAACAAGTCAAATAATAAAATAAAAAATAGGTGGAATTATTTTGGCCCAGTAGCAAAAGTATTCATGTAAGAAAAATAAGAGGATTGCAGGTCTGATTTGGTATATTTTGGGCATATTTTGCAGCAAACATGGTGTGAGTAAAGCTCGGCATTGGAAAGCCTGAATTATATTTGTGGGAAATTCTGCCTCTGGTTGCTCTTGTTAATCAGTTGAGCCTTTGTGTTGTTTTTTCCAGATGAGTAGATTAACCCCAACAGGACCCTACTGCATTGCCTCTGAACCAGTCTCTATAGTTACTATGAGGTCAAATGTAAAAGGTCAATGGGTAAACAGATGGCAATCCAGTGATGGTTGTGGTTAGATGCAGATGTGTAGGACAGAGGGTGTGCATGTGTTTGTGTGTACCGTACATGTTATCTGAAGACAACAGAACAGTCATTATCGGAGGACAACATTGTTTTTTAAACTAAATTCACTGATGTGTGTCTAACAGAGACAACTCACTAAGGAAATAAAATAATCATATTTGCTTGCTGTTTTATCTTTAATAAGGTTTTTTATATAGGGTTTGAACTAGAGAAATATTCATGGGGTGGCAAGAGGGGGGCACGGAGACTTAAAGGGTGGCAAAAATACATGCTAAAATAATCTCAAACAATCAGATATATCAATATTTGCTTGGAAAAAAAACCAAATTAAGATTTTTGAACTAAAAAACATTACATTATTGTGGCACAGTAAAGCATTGAATAAAACATTTAAGGTAGCATTAAAAATCAGAATGTTTAATTTAAATCTTCATTCTTTTTCCAAACATCTTCTTCCAAACGTCTTTTTTCATTGAACTTAAGCCTATCACTTAGTCTAAAATGTGTCCATAACAGATCATTAAAATACTTTTTAGCATTTGACACCAAACTGAGGTGGCCACCCCTCTGGATTAGTACCTAAATATAGGTAAAATTAATGTCAAACTCTATACAAGTTGTGTTGTGTTGAGGCCTGTGGGTGACAGTAGTGTGGGATAATTACACACTTAGATATCTGTTAAATAATATGGATCACACTATCAATAAGAAAATCTCTCATAAATATCCAGAACACTTGAGGAATATATTGATTTCCACTGTGATTGAGATAAATCACAGCACCAAATAATTGTGATATCTGTCTCAGTTGACAGTGACTGGGCCACATCTGTGGCCACTTTCCCCTGCTGATTTGATGTCCTACTTTACTCTCCCATGTCATTTGCCATTGTCTTCTCTCTGCAGATATAATTCTATACTCTTATGGTATTTCAGGGGGGAAACCAACGGCAGGGAGCTTACAAACTGACAATCTGATTTGATTGAAAACACGGTAAATCCCACGCTGGCCCAGGCATTCAATCTCACATCATCACTGACACACGGTTGTCCCATAAACCCACTTCTTAATCCCAAAGCCTTTTTATTTTGTGGTCAATGTGCCACCCATTGCCACAAATCCCCCTCTGCCTCAGTCTCACCCCACCCCCTTGCGTGTGTGTGTGCGCAGGGATGAGTCTGATTTCAGGCACAGCTGGCATCATCATCCTGTAACCTTTTCTGTTTTGGGCTTATTTGTGAATGCACTGGGCTGCACTGAGTACCTGGACAAGGTTAGACAGAGAACATGCAGAACACTGCAGCCTGCTGGTTTGCTGTGATTGTCATTCTCTGTGTTTCTTCTGCCGATACAGAATATTAAGGACTTTCATCCTATTTTGGGATTCAAGTGCAGATCTGTATTCCTGGACAGAAAGACTTCTTAGTTGTCTCCTCACTAGCGCAGTGCACTCTTGGCCAGTTGGCAGCAATGAAAAATGTGCCAAAGGACAATATAAGATGCCAGGACAGAAGAGAAGAGGAATAAATCTTTAGTGCAATGGTGTTATGATCCACAGCCTAGATGGAAAATTTTTGTTTTTGGCCAGTTCCACAGTACTTATTTGGAGATTGAAGACAGCCTCATATTATTTTGGAAAAATACTATCAATCTGCAGCGGACTGAAAAAGTTTTTTCTTCCTCCCTTCCAGTCTCTGCATCCAGACTCCTGCGGAAGGGACCAACAGATTCCCACTCCCTCCTGGCCTACAAGCACTCTGCATGTTACGCATACTTCTCAAATAGGCCTATGTTGAATGATATCATACAGGAGCTACACCAATACATGACGATCATGTGAATACTGTAAAAATATTTGAAGGATATAAAAGAAGTGCGCGCTCTCGGCGAAGCGCAGCATCAGCACCAGCATCCGATGCGCGTCCCCGCTCCGGTAGAGGCTGCCCGAGATCCCGGGAAGAGGAGTTGGACCTGCGCGAGTTAAAGTTGGGCTAAAGGGGGGTGAGAGGATGCTGCAGGACGATCTACGATCTAACTAACATAGCCTATGCGGAGAAACGTGTTCTAAGTGAAGGATGACTTGCAAAATACTGAGCATATGCCTCTTATTTTTGGGTTTTCAACATTGCTCATCACGTAAGTCTTGTGAAACAGCAATTGTTCATCTGTTATCGGCTGCTAGAATAGTATCAAAATATTGCAAAGTGTGCATCAATGCTTATGTGCATATTGTTTAGCGTCTGGTATGCTTAAGAAAAAGTTGCAAGATAACATTCGATAATAAGTGGAAAATACCACTGGAGGGCCAGATGTCGCCTGCGGGTGTTGGGATCTGTGAAGGGCAGCACACACGTTGCGACAGCCTTAAAACACAGACCGTTAAATTGAACCGCTTGTCTTGGCTATTGTAATTTCAGTAAAGCATTGTTTTGTTGGATCACATAAAAAAAGTGTAGAAGCAAAACCGCGTCGGTCCTGCGGAAGACGCGCACGGCGATCCCCATGCACTGAACTGTCTGCATTGCAGTACTTTCGCTCACGCAAGTTTCTGCACCGTGTGTGTCCAACTCTCGACTTCTTTGCATAGCACGATGCTGCTCGAGATTCTATTTGGCTGTTTCTAGTATAATCTCCAAATCGCTTTGACGGTGTGTATTGTTGCTGCTCAAAATCCGCTTTTCAAAGTGGCGGTTGAGATAGCACAGATCAGCGTCCTGACCGGGACCAGCCCACTGCAGCACTTTTTGGGAAGCCTGTGTTCCCATCACCTGTCCGTAAAGCCCTGCATCCTGCACACGACGGGCACGGATTCACCTGGCAGGGAAATCATTACTCAAAGATCAATGAAGCCCAGACCAGCAGTCATGTGGTGGTTTTAGTTGGACAGAGGTGGGGCTGTGTTTGGGGCTAAAATTGGTTTAGGGGAAAGGTGCCATCTACCCATCTATCACAGAGCATGTATGCATACTAATAAGCTTTGTGCATGATGTCAGTGTCAAGATGACTTCAGAGGGTCCCGTTTATTAACCCCATACAGCGCGCTGCATGACTCATTGGTTTTGATATCAGTGGGAGATCAGGAAAGAGGGATGCTTTGTCATGTGACTCCTGGATAGTTAGGAATGCAAAATTAAGAATAGAAGTAACATCCACTACTGTTAGCATTTTGTTTTTTAAGTGTTAAACATGGCGTACCACGGATTGTTTAGGGATATAATGCAGTATACCTACCCTCTATTTTGGAGAAACAAAAGCTAACTAGTATTACAGTAAGTGAACCCATTTTACATGATATTGTGCACCTTTGCAGGCTCTTTGTGTAAAGTTATTACAAGTAAATAACATTCCTGTCAGGCATTGTGCTATTACTTTAAGATATATTAAGCTTTCTGATGAAAAATGGTTTGTTTATGATGCTTCTGATTATTAGAAGCTCTCTCACATGGTCTGTTGGGAAGTGAATGGTGCTATCTTGCTGTAGTTTTAAGAAAATTTGAAAGTGAATGAACAGGAAAGACTGAAAATGATGCATGAAAATGAGCACTGAATGCTAACCAGTGGGAGCCTGTGAGTTTTGCTTGCGATGGCACTTTATAGCAGGTCAGCATGGTATATCTGCATGGAAGTGCACTGTGGAACCCTGCCAGATTGAAATGGAGGCTCAGATCCCAGAGCACAGTGACCCAGCCTTGGGTGGAGCTGAGACCTGTAAAGTGTGTGTGTGTGTGTGTGTGTGTGTGTGTGTGTGTGACTGTAAAACATATGCATAAATCTCAAGTTTATTCCTTGTGCATTCTGTCATGGTTAGCATCCCATGCAGCAGGAGACTGACCGACTGGTCCATGTGAATATGAGGGAAATTGATATTTAGCAGAAGGGGTTGTTGCTCTGTGTGGAAACTTAGCTGTTCTTTTAGTCAGAAAAAACGATTCTGTTTGAGATCAGTCTGAATGTGATTCTGATGTTCTGCATTTGTGTCTTTATTCCTGCAGCAGTCAGACACCACCCACTGTGATGCATGGCTGGCTATGAATGATTTATTAAAGCCCCTTGAACAGAACATGGTATATTTCCACTACTCTATGTGCTGTTCTGTTGCAATCTTTTGGGGATTTTAATGTTGGTGGACATCTGCATTCAGTCGCACGGATGCAAGGCTGCTGTCTCAATCCTCAATGGCAATGCATCACAAGCCAGTGACAGCCAGAGGTGGTGCCTCTCTGCATACTGTATGTAACCAGCAGTACTGATGTGTCAGCCCAGACAGAGCAGCCTACACTTACAGCAGACTGATGATTCAGCAAGAGTGATGCTGGAGCTCTACACAACCACACTGTTCCCCACATCCCCTTAATGATAAATGAAGAAAAGGACAACTCTGTGTGGTGCAGAGAAGGGAGGGGGGATGCAGGGTGGCCAGGAGTGGGGTGAAAACCTGGTGTCTCGATGCTCTGCACAGCCTTCAGGTACACTTTAGCTACTGCAATGTGACAACGCCCACTTGGGGTGAGAGAGGTAAAGAGAGAGAGAAGTACAAAATAGCAAGATGATGATTAGAGAGAGTATGAGGTAATGGGATGCAGTGAGAGCAAGAAATAGTGGATGCTTTTCAGAGTAGGGATGGAGATAAAGAGAGAGGACTCAGAGTGAGGGGAAGGATGCAAGATGCTGAATAGGTGGGGGTGTAGAGTGCGTGACAGACTTGCCATGAGGAGGAGCTGAGGAGCTGAGTGGCCTGGGTTAACCTGCTGTAGTCTGGGAGGAAATTGCTCTCTACATTTAAAGTCAAATTCTCTTCCTTTTACTACTAATTGAGGAATTTAAACAAATCAATAAACATTAAGCCGTTAGCAGCAAATGAGCTTTGCCTGCAGCACAAAGCTTCTAAATATTGTTGTTTGAATAGCCATTTGAGCAGTGGATTACTGGAAATGGCTCTACAGAGTAACAATGAAGTGATGCATCAGAGGTCTGTTATTGATCACAGCAGGTATTTCGGTATCAAAAAAGATGGTGAGATAGCCTCAGAGGGAGGCAGACGGAGGAAGAATGTCAAGGTCACATTTCCCTTGCTCAGCACATTTTCTCCACCTGAATGTGCAGTGACAGAAGTCACGCTCATGTGACTAACTCATTCTTACCGCATGAGGCAGCAAATGGTGAATGTACAATTGCTGTCCTATGTTTCATGTGTCATTTAAGGTAATGTAAGGCAGTGGATGGTCATTAAATCTCTCTACTTCCTAATTTCTTCAGGAAGTTATTTAAATAAAATTTTGAGTAGATGCAGTATCCTTCCTCATCTGGCTCCATCTGCAGCCTGCATTCCAATTCTGCTAGAGTCTACTGTCTACTGTCTTTTCTCCTGTGCTGCATGACCTCTGTGACTGTGAGAACAGGAATTACAATGCCAGAATTTCTGTTTACCAGTAAACAACTCTAGATGTTTGGAGAGGATTACACTATTAAGGGATAAGGAAAAGGAAGGCCAGATTAGAGCGGCTTTCATTTACCTTATTGCTTTTAGCCTATCTATATTAAATCTCTTGGGAGTAATAAAGAGCATACTTTGGTACTTAAAATGAGACAGTGTTTCTCTTGCAGCTCGAGGTGAGGGCATCGCGCATTTATCCTCAGCAGTGACACAAGCAAGATTAGGTAGAATTATGGTCAGTTTTATTAGCCGTGGGCTGGAGAGTGAGTCTGAGCAGATGGGCGATGGTCCATCAGTCTCGGTTTGACTTTGACTTTCCTGCCCATGAAAGTGCACTTTTTCAAGAAATTACATAGAAATATATAGATATGCATGCACTGACAAGCATGCACACACATCCACAAAGACATTCATGTGATGCTGCATTATTTTTATTCTGTCTATGCAACACTGAAGAACACAAGACCAGATCCATTTTTGTACGCTTTTGAAATAGGAAGGCGGTGTTGTGTAACAGAGGCAGTGTGCGTAATCAGTAACTGTTAGTCAGTCTATTTTACTGCTAGTCCCATCCAACCTGTGAATAAATGAAGATGCAAAGATGATGCACTCTCAGAGCAGATGTCAGGACAGTTAGTTAGATTTATGTGTCTTGGTCCACCACCTTATAATGAGACTATTAAGGGACTGGGATTTACTGTGGAGTATGAATGACCTCACTTTCTGTATACATTACCAGCAGAAAGACTAAATTTGTTTGTGCTACACTTTGAATTTAATTGGATTTAACTGGCCAAATTTGTATTTTTTGGATCATGGAGTACAGACTAGCCTCACATAAACTCCAAATGCTCTTTTCTTATCAATCTGCACAGCTGTACCAGTTATTGTTGAGAACTGTATCATTTTGAAAGCGGTGTGTGAGTGGTGCATTATGAGTCATTTTGAGTCTGTCTTACAAGCCTGTCTTAATAACTCTTGACCTTGGTGTCTTTCTTGTCATTGCAGGAGAATGTGTTGATCCGCTTGTCTCTGGGCTGTATGCCTCCTCCTTCCTGGCTTCCTCCAGATATAACTTTCTTTATTCTGCCAATTTTGCCAAATTGTATGGTAAGTTCCTAATTGTAGTGTTCATCCATGATTTCACACCATTTACCATACAGACCTTTCTAAAGGATGTTTAATTTGTCATAATAGGAAAAGCACAAGTGTAACTTATAACATTGATATTAACTCTGGTCCATTTAGGTGTGCAGGCATATTAATTAGTTACACCTGTGTTTTACATGTCAAAATGCCCATGGTGACAAAAGACTATTCCCACAGTGACAAAATATTAAACTGTGGGCTACTTAAACACCTTAGGGATCTTAAATGAATTCAAATTACATAATCTAGCAAAGGAAGGAACAATTATAGTGACTTTGTGAATTTAGTTGGGAAATCTGTTAACACCATTGTTAGTTAGCTAACAAATATAGACCTACCATTATAAGTAATTGGTTACAATTAGATACATTAATTAGTATCAAATTGGGTAATCTGCAAAATGCTAAATGCTTGTCCAATCCCAGACAAAACACTAGTTGGATTTTATCTGCTCATTATAGTTCCCCACCCCTAAATTTGACAGAAGTTTAAAATGGCTGTCACTATTGCTTTGATCATGATTTCATCCCAGTCAAGCTGTAATTATGCCCCAAATGAACACCCTTCTTTCTCCCTCTCAGGCAGCAGTGGTTGGTCCCCATCCCCCAGGGACAGACAGCCATGGCTTCAGGTAGACCTGGGCAGGAAGTATCGACTGGTGGCCATCGCCACTCAGGGGACCTTCAACTCATATGACTGGGTCTCAAAGTACACCCTGCTCTATGGAGACCGACCAGACTCCTGGACGCCATACATCATGAAAGGAGGAAACTCTGTAGGTGTCACTGAGCCAGAATGGTTGGGGTTGGATGAATGCCATAACAGGGATGAGGTTGAAGATTAACAAGTCAAATGTAATCTTTACAGCCGATTCTCCAGTCAGTGGTTGTTCCATTACATTCATTGTCACTGGCACAGAAACAAAGAGAGCACAGCATATTATCTCTCTCAACACTGACAAAGCTAATCTCATCATCATTTCATCTCCAGTCTCTTAATAAGGCGTTAAAACCATTGCAGTGACTCAATAACTCTCTTCCCTCTTTCCTGGTGTAATCTGTTTGCAGACGATGCCTGGGAACTGGAATTATTATCAGGTGAAGAGGAATGTCTTCCATTACGCCTTTACTGCTAAACACATTCGTCTGCTGCCTCTGGCATGGAACACAGAGAATGGAGGGAAGATTGGTGTGAGGCTGGAGCTGTTTGGCTGCTCTTATGGTAAAAATGATTGATTTACTGCCTCTGATTCACATCCAGGGACACTGTACAATCCCAGTACTTAATCATATTTGATAATATGCCACAAAATCTTTGTGCCAAATATGCTACAATGTGTTTCTAGTTAATAAATGAATAAGCTCAGTATCACCTGATTCATACTCCGGAACACCACCTAAATGCCAACACATAAGACTCTGTATAACCTATAATCACATACAGTTTGAGCAATATGTCAAATCTAAATCCTGCAAAAAGTGATTCCAAATTTAACATTTTCTCTGCAGATTCCTATGTGCTACAGTACGACGGGGATGACTCGGTAGTCTACATGTACCCTGGGAAGAGGTCCCGTACACTACATGACCATATTGCCATCAACTTCAAGACTCTATACGAGGATGGTCTGCTGTTACACAGTGAGGGGATTCAAGGAGATCTCCTCACCCTGGAGCTCAAGAGAGGTCGTCTTTACCTGCACATCAGCCTAGGTATAGCCTGAGTTGTTTGTTGGACAAATAAAGTTGAAAATATTATACAGACATATCCACTACATTTAAAAGTTCTAGAAGGGATCATGTTGTAGAGTTTTGGGTAAAGAAAATATTGCCATATTTGACAAAAGACATCCATCTCAGAAAGAAGCAGACTTTTCTCAATCCTGAAAATATAATTGTCAGGGGACTTCTCAATATCACCGGTTAGATTGTTCAATGGAGCCCTACAATTTCTTTATTAAGAAAAAAAATTGACATTATCTTTGAGTTTTACATTAATTAGAGCTGATGTTACTTCCTTCTGTCCTTGCCCTCTGTTTTTCAGGAAGCAGTATAATACACAAAGTCGATGGTCGAATTACACTGACTGCTGGCAGCCTTCTTGATAATCTACACTGGCACTATGTCACCATCAAGCGCTATGGTCGACAGGTGAACTTTACAGTGGACAGTCAGACAGTTACAGGCATCTGTAATGGAGAGTTTACACACCTGGATCTGGATACGCAGGTACCTCATTAAAGGATAATTTCTATGTGGGTGTACTTACAGTAATATAATTTGTAAACTGAAAGATAAGATAGTTAAAGGAAATGATAAATTAGATGTATGCTGAATACATTTGCTTCTTTGGAGGAAGCTTCCAAATTGCATTTTAATTACAACTTGAAGGCTGCTTGTGAACTATTTTATTCAAATATTCATTAAAAGCCAGTTAATGAGCTAATTTGTAATTTGTAAAGTCTTTTTGCATTTATTTACAAATTCACTGAATTTTGTGGTTAATGACAATGACTAAGTGAATGAATACCTTTCTCCTAGTTATATGTAGGAGGTGTCATAGAGCAAAATGTACCTCACCTGCCCACCACACAAAATTTCCAAGGCTGCCTGGAAAACGTCTTCATCAATGGCATCAACATTATTGACAAGGCACAGAGAGAAGAACCTGACATCCGCATCCCGCGAAAGGATCCCAGTATTCCAGTAATAATATCACTGTTTCTGATTATCACCATTAATTGTAATTAAACAACTTTATCCGTTCCATGCTTACAATACAATAACAATCAGTGGAAATGTTTTCACTGATGAGGTGATGGTAACTAATGAGGTCCAATTTGTCTTTCTTCCCCTCAGAAAAAGATGCATTTTGCCTGCAGGGACAATCTGCTCAAACCGATGACTTTTGCTGGGCCCAACAACTACCTGCAGGTACCAGGCTTCTTCAGGAGGCCTCGTATGTTCGTTAAGTTTAAGTTCCGCTCATGGGACTACACAGGGCTGCTAATGTTCACGCGATTTGCTGATGACCTGGGTGCTCTGGAGCTGGGCCTAAGTGAGGGCCAGATCAACGTCACTATATTCCAGCCTGGCAAGAAGAAACTCCAGTTTGCTGCAGGTGGGCTTATGTCGTTTTTGGCCTTGTCAGATATGACATAAAAGATTACATTTGTAGATTTTTGAACATACAACTGCTAAAGCTTCATGTATTCCTGCTCCATCTCAATAATAGCTGATGACTGTAGATTTTGTCAGCTGAAACAGTCGCTAACAGATTTTTTAGGCTGTATTTAATGTTTCCAGCTGATTTGAAAACCTAGTAAAAATGGTCTTAACCATGGATTTGATAGCTACATACACAACACTAAACTTGTTACATAGACATGCTAATATTTGCAGCTTGTGTTAGAGCAGATAAACACACTGTTTAGTTATTTCATACACTTGCAGCTTTTGGTTTTGCAAAGGCTAAACAAACACACCAACCTCCAAACTCTTTAGACACAGAGTAACTAGCTCGAAATTCTCACACAATGTGTGATTGGACAATCCCTGTTTGGGGGTGGGGTTTAACTAGAAGTCAATTCTGGATAGATTTTGTGCATTGTGCATGGGATCTCTGTCCTGAATATGATTGTAGAAAGATTGCATGACAAGTTTTCTCCAATCTCTAGGATACAGGCTAAATGATGGTTACTGGCATACAGTGGATTTGGCAGCCAGGGACAACCTGTTGACCCTTACAATTGATGAGGAGAAGGCCTCTCCGCTAAAGATCACCAACCCTTTTACAATTCGGACAGGAGATCGCTACTTTTTTGGAGGTACGGTGATGGTTTAAAACAATTGTTGACAGCCCCTGAAATCTAATACTGTTCAATTCATAAATTTCCTTTCCTGCATTCAGGTTGTCCAAAAACCAATAACACAATAAGGAAGTGTGAAACCAAGCTGAACCGCTTCCATGGTTGCATGCAGCATATTTTCATAGACGATGAACAGCTGGATATTGATATTATTCTGCAACGACAGTGGGGGCGTTATGCTGAGCTGTTGTTGGGCACATGTGGCATCGCTGACAGGTAAGAAATATCACCCAATTTAAAGAATATAGCAATAGATTTCCTACCCTCCTCTTTAGTGTATTGTATGTGTATGTTATTTTAAGTATTGCACTATGGCTTTCTGTTAAATCAGTTATCCTCTGGGGACAATAATAAAGCTGAAAGTTGAAGTTGAAAGTTGAAAGAATACACTTTTTGTTAATAGCGTCACTTCTTTAGAACTTTCACCTCATAAAACCGTGTCTTAAGGAACAAAAAGAAAATAGAGAATGTGGAAATGAAAAAAAGAACCAGACAGACTTATGTAAGTTATCACTTTTGTAACATCAAAATACTCAATATAAACATTTTCTTTTTTTACAGATGTACTCCAAATCCATGTGAACATGAAGGCAGATGCATCCAGTCCTTGGATGACTTTATCTGTCTGTGTGAGAACACAGGCTATAAAGGAGAAGTGTGTCACATGTGTAAGTGCTGGCTGGTAGTGTTAACCACTGTAATTAGTGTGTTGCTCTACAATTAATTTCACTTGGCCTGTGACATACTTCTTCCTAATAATAACAACAAATTCTCGCTTCTTGAACAGCTGTTTATAAAGAGTCGTGCGAGGCCTACAGACTCAGTGGCAAGTACTGGTCTGGAAACTATACCATTGATCCGGATCTAAGTGGACCACTGAAACCATTTGAAGTGTACTGCAAAATGAAGTGTAAGTTATAAAATACAGCTTCATCTGCAACATGTTAAGTATTTGCTGGCTCCTCTGGAGGTTTTTTAATAAAAAATTGGACAGTGAAAACTCCTGTGTTCCTGTAATGAGAAATGTGTACTCAAATTTCATGGGAAATAAAAGGGCTTATAAAACAAGATAGGCCCAGCTGTTTGTGTGTGTGTATGTGCTAGAAAAGTGTGCCTATTCTTAACTAGTACTCTGTGTCTAAGCTTTCTGTTGACATTCTTATCCGACATTAAATTGCTTTTCATTCTTTTCCTTTTTCTTACATTATTGTTCCCTCTTTCCTTCCTCTTTTAATATGTAATTGCTATGACCTATATCTGTCATGCCTCTTCACAGCATATAAAGCTTGGACAGTGATTTTGCATGATCGAGTGGATGGTACCAAGGTGACTGGGAGTTCAATAGACCAGCCATATATAGGAGATGTCAACTACTGGAATGCCTCCTGGGATAGCGTCACTGCTCTAGCCAACACTTCCATGTACTGTGAACAGTGGATCGACTACTCCTGCTACAAGTCCCGTCTCCTCAACACCCCCAGTAAGAGGAATTATTGAGTTTGTTAATTTTCTAGTGTGCTCATGGAAACCAAGGAAGATAGAAAACTTAAAAGAAACCACTTCTCTTTCAAAATAGATGGAAGGCCTTTTGGTTACTGGATTGGTCGTGACAATGTGAGTCACTATTACTGGGGTGGAACATTCAGAGAGGTCCAGATGTGTGGCTGCGCTATCAACCAAACCTGCACCGATCCCAAGTTTCAATGCAACTGTGATGCTGACTATAGACAATGGTGAGAGAAGGATACATTGAGCAGGTTTAGTTTGTTTCTGTGACACTGACAATGATGTCTTCCCCACTGTGACTTTTCAGGTACTCAGATAAGGGCTACTTGGACTTTAGAGACCATCTGCCTGTGAGGAAGGTGGTAGTCGGGGACACCAACAGGACAGGCTCAGAAGCCCACTTCACTGTCGGGCCACTCCGCTGCCATGGCGACAGTGAGCTTAAATATTATGGCTCACACAGTGATGTTCAATGTTGTTGAAGGGTTGAAAGTAGTTTTTTAATTATATATATATATATTTTTCTGTTTTCCACAGGAAACATCTGGAACACTATAGCCTTTACCAAGCCCACATATATAACCTTCCCCACCTTCAAGCCTGGATCTACAGCTGACATCTCCTTCCACTTCAAAACCTATCGTGACCATGGTGTCTTCTTGGAGAACTCTGATGAACAGCTTCGAAATTTCATAAGGATAGAGCTGAATAGTGAGTTGACTCATCTGCTACTGTAGCAGGGAGCTATTCTCCTTATACATCTGAAATATTTACTGAATAATGACTGTAAGTTTTTCCTTTTCTTCTTTCTCCTTTCCTCTTCCAGCCACCCATGACCTGCTGTTTATATTTATGGTTGGTGATGGCATCATTAATGTGACACTACACTCCCCTGTGCCACTAAATGATAATGAGTGGCACTTTGTTCAGGCCGAGATTAATGTGAAACTGGCCCGGATCAAAGTTGATTATCAGCCTTGGGCTGTTAGGCGTTTCCCAGGTCAGACCTTTGTCACCATGAAGTTTACACATCCTCTCCTAGTAGGTAGGTTGTTTGAAGTGAAACTTGAAAATTGTATTCTGAAAACAGTGAATTGTATTCTGTCCTCTCTAAACTTTAAATGAAGATGAATAACCACTGATAAAAGTACTCTTTGTATTAGGTTCAGCCAACCGCACCCTAAGACCTTTCTTGGGGTGTCTTCGAGGCTTACGGATGAACGGGGTTCCTCTCGATCTAGAGGGGAAAGTAAATGAAGAACAGGGTATAAGAAGGAACTGTACAGGACAGTGTCTCAATGCTACCATACCATGCCGAAACAGTGGCCAGTGTATTGAGGGCTATGCTTCCTACACTTGTGACTGTAACAACACAGCGTTTGATGGCTTTTACTGCCATAAAGGTGAGTTCATGTTTCTTTAGAGCCGTGAAAAACTTTCACATAGTCACTGACATCATCTACAGCAGTACTTTGGAATACATTAAGATATCTAATTCAATGACAATCTTTTCTAAGACATCGGAGCCTACTTTGAGATTGGCTCGTGGCTGAGATACAACATACGAAAAAAGCCTGTATCAGATGAAGCAGCATGGGCCAACTGGATCGATCCGCACTATGACAACTTCAGCCTCGGCTACAATGACACAGCAGATGACATAGAGTTCAGTTTTAGCACCGTTCATAAACCAGCTGTGTTGCTCTACATTAGCTCCTTTGTCCAAGACTACATTGCTATCATCCTCAAGGCTGACGGTAGGAATTTTTGAAGTTGGATTATATTTGTAGGGCAGAAGATTCATTTTATTCACAGATTAGAGATCCAGAATCTCAAAAAAACTACCCAAGATGATGCAATGCAGTTATTCATCAAAACAGTACGTCTTCTCTCTCCACAGGTAGTGTAGATCTGAGGTATAAGCTGGGGCTCATAACACACAAGTACCAGCTGACTCACCGAAACCTGGCAGATGGTTACCCCCACTATGTCAACATAACCAGACACAACAGAACCATCAAAACACAGGTTCATGCTCTCACTGCTGTCACTGTGTAAACTCTGATCTGGGGTTGTTATTTGTTAGTCGGTGGTATGTTATTTTAAATGAAGAAATGTACTATATCTATAAAATCTATAGACTGCCGTGCACCAATTTAAGGATATTTACAGCCTAATTTTCTTGAAATCAGGAATAATTTAACATTTTGGGGAATAGGCTTATTTTTTTAGTTGCTTAGAGTAAGATAAGAAAATTGATACCATTTTCATATGTGTAACTTGATCCAGCAGCCACTTAGGTTAGCATAGATACTGGAAACAGGGGGAAACAGCTAGTCTGGCTCTGAGGTAGCAAAATCTGCATAGTTGCAACTCTAAGCTAACTAGGTCACAAGGATTGTGTTACCTTTGCACAGACTAAATGTTGCCCTTAGTTTCCAGTCTTTATGCTAAGCTAAGCTAACCGGCTGCTAGTTGTAGCTTCATATTTACAATACAGACATGACAGTGGCATAAATCTTGGCAAGAAAACAAGTAGTAGTAGTAATAGTTCCCAAAATGTATATTAAATAATGACTAAATAACTATTCCCCTAAGTACACAAATAACCTCTACATACAAAATATTGAGAATATAGTTCATTAAAGTTCTGCATACTTAAACTTTAAAAGATTCAAGATTCAAGATTCAAGAGGTTTATTATCATATGTACAGTAAGAAACAAAAGGTTTGTACGTACAATGAAAGTCTTACTTTGCCCGACTCCCTGAGGCAACACACAAGTAGAAGAGTAAAAAATATAACAAATTTTAATATAAAATATAACTAAAATATAACATATAACTTAAAGTGCAGAACAAAAGTAAAGTAAACAAAAGTGTTCCATTTGCAAATGTTTTATTAGTTCTGTTTGTGGTATTTTAGTCATTTACATACTCTCCATGAATTAAATTCCTTCCTTTAAAGATGAGGTATATAACTTATTTTGCCTTGCCCATAGGTGGATTACATGGAACCCATAGTGGAAAAGATAACCTTGGTGGAAGATGCCAGATTTGATTCTCCAAAGTCCATGTTCCTGGGCAGAGTGATGGGTAAATATATAATGTACCACTTGTTGATGAGAACAGTTAGCCTAATGTATTCATCTGCTACCACCTACCAGTATTATTTATTCATTCTTTATTTTAAGATATGTTATATTGTTTCTATCTGCTCTTTCAGAGGTTGGTGACATTGACTATGACATCCAGAGGCATAATGCCCCAGGCTTCATAGGCTGCATATCTGGGGTGAGATACAACGTTTACGCCCCTTTAAAAGCCTTCTTCCGTCCGAATGAAACAGACCCTCCGGTAACGACACAAGGCTACGTTTCTGAGTCCAACTGTGGTGCTTTCCCTCCTGTCCTGGGTTATGTACCATGGGAGGCAGACCCGTGGTTTACCAGCATAGGTGAGTTTATATGTCCCATAATGCATCAATATAAAAAGAATATTATTTTGTGTTCCTCCACTCATTTGTGTACCTTTCCCTTTCAGAGTATTTTTATATCCATGATGACCTTGGTCTATTTTGGATAACAGGTAAGATAAATTTTTTTCTATTCTCTAATTAATTATTAATACTCTAAAGGAAGACAATGCCTTGGATGCCCAAATACTGCATATCTGCCTTGTTTCTGAATTGCTGCATTCAAAAATAAGACCAGTAATGTGACACTATTCATTTTATTTTGAAGCACTTCTTCTCTCCGTCTCCTGTTTTACTCACTATTTCGCCCCGTCCCAGATAACCGTTTGAAATTCTCTTTCCTTTTTTTCTAAAATCCTCTAATCCTAAATTAGAGCAGGGTTGTCAGATTCCAATGTGGGCTTTTGAGTGTTTATTCAAGCATCTGACTGCAGGCTCAAATTTACTACATGTGGTACAAAACTGAAAAAAGATACTTGTAGAACAAAATAGGCAGATATTTCTAAAGCTTTATTATCATACTGAAGATTATATCTGATTCCATTCACCTGATGTCAGATTATCTTTTTAATCTATTTGAGTATATAAGTGAAATGAATGAATAAAATACAGATGTATAAACTTACATTAGAAATTATTTCAAATGTCTGTTATGTACTTAGACTTAGAGGAAATAGTTAATTTACAGTGAGTATAATAACTTTAATAGTACATTAAGCCTCTACTCCCTTATCACCATGACTATCAACAATAATGTAAAAGCAACAGGCAATGACAAAGAATGACATTATGATCTAAGAAGAGAAATAAGGGAATTTCAGTAGTTTCAAAAAACCCAAAAGGTATATTTTAATATAATTAAATTTAAGAATGCTCCCCATGCTATTAGACATTTAGTATTATTAGTACATGTATCATCATAGATTTTATGTTAATTCATTCTGATGTAATTCAACATTTTGATTAATGATTCAACACAGGAATAAGCACATTTAAACAAAAGCATGAAACTGCGGCTGAAATATGACAAGTATGTTTTTCTCTGTCCATCTATTGATTTCTGGAAAACATCAATATTTCATGTATTTCTTCACCTATTTAATCCTCATGACTCTGCACTTAATTACCAGAGGACATGTTGAGTGTTGAGGCCAGATGAACGGTTTGGAACGCGCTGTTACAGATGACGGAAGAAATTAGAGCAGGTCCCCCTGATGAGCGGCGGAGGCTGGAGTCTCAGGATTAAACTGCAGCACAGACTCTCTGCTCCATCCCTGTCTGAGACCTTTACCGGATCAGCTATATTTAGTCTGCATGGGCCCAGCTTACTGTTCGTCATTGATAGATGGTTCAGCTTAATAGATCATTCAGATTCAGAGGTATTATGCTAATGCGGGACATCATTATGTCATTTAAGATTACTGCACCATTCAGGCATCCCAACAATGGTCCCCTCTGGTTATCAGACATCATCCCTGTCTGATATACTGCTCAGGATAAAATGGTTATGGCTGAGAAAATACACAACTGCAGTTGATAAAACAAATTGTGCTGGATAGAATATTGAAGTCGTATGTTTTTCCTTCATTAGTCCTGTGACAACATCTCTTTAAATAACAGTTTTGCTTCCTTGCTGCTCTAAGCTCTGCATTAGGTGCAGTATATCTTTTGAACAGCATCAACAGCATTGATCCATTCTTTATATCCATTTATTGAGGCAATGAACCTTAGGGGCTGAGGCCTTTCCCAGCATGCAATGGTGGAAAGGCTGGTAAACACTGCAGACAGGCCATTACACAGTCAACGCACTGACTGACAAACAAACACACACCTACAGGCAATTTAATGTCTCCAGCTCACCTGACCTTCATGCCGTTGCACTGTGACAAGAAACCCAAGCAAATGCAGGGTGAATATTAAAACTACACTCAGAAAAAGGACAGGGTCTGAGGTCTGAACCTTTAGTTGTAAAGCAACTTCAAGCAGCTTGAGCTACCAACTAACAATAATTCTGGTTTTGTTGCTGGCTCACAAGCAGCTGGTCTGTGAATATTTAAGAGAATAATAGTCTTATAAAACATGTAACCACATTAAGAATATAGGAGTTATTTTGGATGCTGACTTGACCTTTAAAAATCACATTAGTTACATTGCTAAGTCTGCCTTTTACCGTCTGAGATTTCCTATTATGATTCTAAAACTCCATGCACAACATTTTAATGAGCAGGCTGGATTCCTGCAATTCCTCCTTAAATGTTCTTCTTTTTATTTTCTACTTTGAACTGCATTTCAATTCAATTCAATTGTATGAACCTGAATTTAAAGAAAAATAATAAAAAGAAAAGGAACTGTCTTTGAATTTTTGGGATTGAAGTGCATAGAAATTGCTCATGTAGCTATTCTCTTTGCAGTTTGGACAGACTACTACAGCATTAAAGATTCAGTCGAACAGTGCCTGCTCCTCATCAGTATCTCTAGGAGTACCTCCTTTCTCCTTGTGTTGCAGATTAACTCTGTGTTTTTTTATCCTTTAGTTATTGTTATCCTGGCATTGCTGCTGCTCTTCGGAGGCCTGTACAGCATCTATGTCTATGCGTATCAGCAGAAGGGCAGCTACCGCACGAATGAACCCAAGAACCTGGAGTCCCCCAGCAGCTCCAGGCCACTGACCGAGACCCTGAGGAGAGAAAAAAAGAACCTCCCATTAATTGAAGAGGAGTTCAGGAGCAATTAGCATCACAGGACCTTTGGGACAGAGGGTGGGGTTTGACTGGGGGTTGGGGAGAGGAAAATACAACCACAGATACCTGTATTAAGTTTTCTAATTCTTTTGTTCTCTTTTTTCATATTTTGGTTTGTGTTCGTTTCCCCGGTTGAGTGGGATCTGATGCCTGGTGCTCTACATAGTACGTATTTTGGTAAGGCTTAAAAGTTCACATCAAGCCCATGTTGCGTGAGTAGCCAACAAGTCTCACACTGTATTGCAGGGTGAAATACTGAAGTGCCTCATCTGAGCAAGCTTGATCTGAAGTAACCATAATAGTTTATTCAGACAGGGTTTAGATTAGACACTGTTGGAACATGATTTAAAGGTATATTTAATTACAGTTAAAATATCAATTTTAAGTATTCAGACTAATTTATTTTCTTTCTGAGCCATTTTTGAGACCGATTAAAGCTACCAATATCTTACTATATAGATTTATTGTCATCTAAAAATAATCCTTTTTGATGACAATCTCTCATGGAGCTATTTTTGACATCATAGTTCATAATCCATCTTGGGTTTGAGCAGTATGCACATCTGAAAACCATGAACTAAACCAGTGGAACAAAAATCTAGATGACTGAAACAGAACTGGTGTTCATGAATAAAAACAACTAATTGAAGAGAAGACATACTGACAAGCATGGAGCTTTGAGATGATACATATAGAGATTGTAAAAGGTATATACTCTTATATTTGTTGTATTGCAGCCTATACCAGTGCATTACCTATACAGAATGGCACATGTAAGTGGTTCAGAATTGCCATAGTGTCAGTAGATAGCAGCTTTGCCGATCACAGTATGCTCAGATTCCTAACACATTCTCAACTAGGGGGGAAATGAGAGTGTGATGATATGTACCTTTAAATGTGAAAGCTAAGTCTGTTGGTGTACTGCAGATTCAAAACAAAAGTTGAGGTGATGAAGCTCGCCAGGGACAGGGTGACCTAGATATCCAAGTTCTCATTCCTTCTGTCTTACTTCTGGTTGCTTATATTATGGTCAAGCTGCCAATAGCTTGGTGCTACAGAATATTTGACTTGGGGGACATTTCTAACAACAGTATTACAAAAGAAGAAGAAAAGAAGTCTTCACAATCCTTTCACCACCGATAATATACACCGTTCAGGAAGCAGCTGCTCTCTATGGCCATGTGGAGAAGCATACATATAAACACAGTATACACACACAATAACATATGTACAGAGGACCACAAGAGTGTAAATGATAATATTTTACTTCTAACTCATACTGCTTGAATATTTTTGCATAATACTGTAGGACAGTAGCTGACCACACTGTCATCACTGCTGCTGCTTGTTTAGCTGCTTTCAGTGGAAAGTTTGCAAATTCTACCTAGAGTCCGATGAAATTTCCTCCTGTCTCAAGACGAAATTTCATTTGATGTGTGTGTGACCAAAGCTTAGGGCTACCATCACTCACTGCAGCTCTCCTTGATACTAAAGCACTATTGTGTATGTGAAAAAAATGGGAAATTTGCAACATATTAGCTATGCATTTGTAGAGCATGAGCGCACTTTGCAGTAACATGCAATAATATGAGCTTCTTTCAGCCACCAATGATGTTAATGTCTCAGTTTACTTTGCAGATGCACAATAGCAAGTAGGATGTAATGAGTGTATACGTGAATATACGAATAATGTGTTAAGCGACTTTTTTTTCCTATGGTTTATAAAAAACAAGTTAGAAACAGTTAAATGGAGTACTTTGAATGTAAATCCTCTGACTCTGTAATGTATGAGCGGACACTACAGTGAAGACCTGCTCTGATGTTTTCATTGTAGGCTGCTTTAGCACTGAAAGTAAAATTACTCATGGTAGCTTTTAAGAATGCTCAGGATAAAGATAGTACAGTACTTGTTCTCTGTAGCACTAATACACCTCCAAAACTCAACATTGTTGGTTTCTTCCATTACAGATGGGCAAAACTGTGCGAAATTGTACAGTGAAAGAATGTACAGTAGATGTAAAAACTGCAATTACTGTAAAGGGTCGACTTGCTAATAATGTATGAAAATGTACAGATTTGGCCAAAACTGGCATTTACAGGCTATATTTTTAGGAATGCTGTGATCAGATGAATGATAATGAAAAGTGAGCAGAGTGAAACTGTGAGTTTGTGATTGACACAAAGAAAGTTTGTCTTTTTGTTAAATGGACAATCACCACTCAAAGTTCATATTAGGCCCAAGCCACCAAACTTGGGTCAAATATGCTTTGTTGCCTATTAGGAAAGAGTCGACTTATGTATATTATAAATGTATACACCTCACTGTATTAATTGGTAAATGGACTATAAACACCTAGCAGTGTCACTTCATTGCTACTAGTTAATCATGCGTGGTCCCTGGAGCGTGTGTATGTGTGACTGACTGGATGTTTAGATGTTTGTGTATTCATAGTTTGCCCACCAAGATAGAACCTACTGACGTTAAATAATGACTCTCATTAAAAAACAAACGTGCACTGATGCCAACTATCCAACTCACTTATTGTAGTGCACCAACAGTAGTACAGTGAGACAGAAACAAGGCCTGGATGTAGCTCAGAGTGGCTCCTCCGTGTCCAGTTATCAGGTGTCTGTAAGGGACATTACAAGTACTATTCCTGAAGTGTCCATCCGGCATCCTAATAATGCAGGCAAGGGTGTGAATAGGGATTAAGATGAAATGGCCAGTAGAGGGAGTAGGTCAGCAAGATGTTGTTGGCTCAGACAGGGTATCTGCTAATTTTATAGGTGTAAATCTAAGATTAATTTAAGAAATAAAGTAAAAAGGAAAACATATTTAAGGGGGCACAAACTTAAATTGTGGTTCGTAAAAAGTCATGATTTGCAGACATTGAATTTTATGAACACTGATTTTAGAGCTTTTAATTCCATCAAAGGCCTAAGACTACTTCATACTTTATATAAAAATGCAGATGCCCTGTCAACAGTGATATCATGTATGAAATCAGTTGATAAAGCACCAGAGTGAGGAGTTGGCAGATTGGACCAGGTTGGACTTCTTTGCACCATCAAACTGAATTCTTCTTCAACAGGTACCAGAAATGATCATTACAGTTGTGTTTGTGATCACACTGAAATTTAAGATTTTTTCTGTTCTTCTGTACGCTCGATTTTGTTTCGTAATACTTTCACTGTAAATGACCATTACTGTGTAAATCAAGGCAAAGCCAAACTGTCACCTCAATAAAAGAAGCTTGAAGGAAATTCAAGCTACATTATTGTTTGTGTTATTTCGGATGAGAAGATTTTTGCACAATGACAGTTAAGGACTAGACAAGCATGTTTTAATGTATAAAGTTAAACTTTTATTTTTATAGGCATACACTGTACATAGCAGTAAACTCCATTTTGTTCATCTCTATTGAGAAAGATCTCATTTCAAAGTGGGCTTTAATGTTTTCTAAATGAAAAACAGTGAATAACAAATCTGGACATATAAAAAAACTAAGAAAAGATGGTAAATGATATCTTACATTCACATGTGGGGGACGTTAATATTTGGTCAAACACTGATAATTTTGCTTTTCCCATGGTCGGAATCTTGTAAAGGTTACCTTTAACACACCTCTGTTAATTATGCAACACATCCACACTGTTTCAGCCTTTTTCTGTGTGTAATCATTTGGCACTTATATGTTTTTTAAAGGAAGACATTTACTGTGTGACTAGTTATTAATTTATTCTTTCCCTCACAATGTGTGAAGGCCTCAAGATCATGTAAACATGATGATGAAATGTTTGATGTGCATGTACATTGCTCAGAGTACCAATAGAATAGATTAATGTGTAAAATGAAAAGAGGGATGAGATCTCTTCACCATCATCTACAGATTACATTCAGTCAGTCGGTTTCTTGTCTGGTTGCCTATTTTGCAGAACAATTATATAAATGCACAATAACTTATTTCGCCATAAAGATGTGGTGGTGGCTAACCGCTGAAAAGGTTCATAGAAGAACAAACCAAGCTGTCAAACCTACCTGTTCTTCAAAAAGTCTTCTGAAGAACAGGCATTGTGTGACATCACACTACAATACTGGGTGACTGCACAGAGCAGCAGCTGACTGAAGCTAATGCTGTGGCTAACATGTTTAATGGTTTGTTTATCCAAGAGACAGTACATGCATTTCACTGATCATCGTATGATGTAAAAGCTTGCGTTGCGTATTGAGAGGTCAAACAAAAGCCGGACTATAAGTACAGTAATGAAACTGCTGAGAGAGTAACATACAGTATGATGGGTGATCGCGGCCTTTTTGCTTTGAAAAGATGGAACCAAAAAAAACAAACAAAACGTGATCCTCTTGATGCAGTAAGCGATACGAATTAATAGTATTTCCACTTTAAATAGTTTAGTTTCATAAGCTTGGCGTATACAGTCTTGCAGGTAGGTGGGTGGGGAGAGTTGACGGCTGTCACTGAGGGAGGTGGTAGTGTCTGCAGCGCAGGAGCACCTGCAAACAGCAGGGAGGAACTTTCTATTTTTGGAAATGCAGCAGAGAGGGTAGAGACAGCGCCTGTTCATAGAAACTCGTCAGCTAGATGTGATGCTGCAGAGAGGGACAGAAGCATTAGTGGGTGGCTGAGGAGTTTGGAACAGGTTATGGAGGTAGGCAGCAGGTATAGTTAAGTCATGTCTACCTCCCTCTCTATCCCCACATATTTGAGGGCATCGGCTTGGCTGTATCTGTGGGAGGAAGTAAAAGAGTCTTAGTTTGTATACAGGATCTGCAGAAACCAGTAATTCAGTCACAATACAGAGCAGCCTTTGTTCTTTTCTTTTTTTACTTTGAAGCTGATGGAGAGTCACAAAAAGGCCTGTGACTCTACCTGTAGTCAAAGAAGAGCTCCTCTCCTTGCAGAATAGCTCGTTTGGCAAAGATTCCAATGCGATGGTCTCCATTCACCATTACCACTGCAATGGCACACATCAACATCAGCCAACACA